AGTAGTAGTAGTAATACGTACTACGACGACTAACGAAACGAACGGAACGTACGTACGTACGAGACGTGTGTCGGGACGGAAACAATAGACACACACGCGCACATATATATATATATATATATATATATATATATATGGCTCACATTATTCTGGTTTTCATTCTTTCTGTCCTGTTAATGTAGCTCTCGCTCCTGCATATTTTAGTGCCAGATTCTATTTAATATGCGAATATTTGATAAGCTACCTCTAGTATGCTTGGAATGGAAAACTGTAGTGGAGATGATTTTGTATGGTAAAGTATGCAAGATACAGGTCTCTTTCAACTCATTCAAGAAAACAATACGGTTCTCTTTCCCATCTAGTGAGATGTCATTGTTGGTTGTTGCATTTGAGTAATTGATATTTGTATCTTAGCTCCAAATATCTTTTACCTTACTGAACAGTATGATCATCTGAGTTCTGTGTATTATGAAGTTGGATATTATTTCCGGTTTTCATCGTTCATCATGAATTTTCCCCAGTCAATGTTTAGCATTACGTCTGTTGTGTTATAGATCTCAAAATTTCTGAATCCGCAAAGGAACTCTTTCCATGGCTCGTAGTGGCTATAGTTGCTTGGAATTAAATGTTCAGCACATGCAGATGGTTTACTGATAAAAAAAGGAAAGGTATACGGTGGTAGTTCCTATTTTAGCAATCTGGAGAATAATCTTGGATGGTAGAATGGCAGTTTTGCATACTGTAGGTCTCACATTTGAAAATTGTGTACTTGATGAGAACAATCTTAAGTATTGCGTGTCTCTTTCTATTACAGTGGGAGGGGAATTGGATTTCTAATACGATGGGAGGGAAGTGGGACAGTTTGAATGCAAGGAACTCTGGACCATCCTTGTAGGTTGCCTAAACTGGCAAAGGATTTTGTGTTGAGAGATCAACATGGACAACAGATGCAATATTTGTAAATGCTTAGGGAGCCTCTGTTTTCACTCATGTTCCATTCCCATCAAAATCATGATTGAAATAGAATCTACACTGGCTGGTATTGCCACCGATATTTCTTGGTGGGATTATAAAAGCATGGGAGGCAATGGTGGCCCCCTGTTTATCCTATTATTTTGGAATTCTGAAGTTAGCATCTTTCGAGAAATCTACCTTTATTAGCTGCATCTATTTTTGGTGATTTTTTTTGCCATCTTTCAGCACAACACTCTTTTCTAAATTATGAACCTTAAGCTTCATCCTCTTTTATAGCTGCTAGTGGTATTTATTCACTTTGCGATTATATCCTTTATAGTTTGTTTTTCCAATAGTTTGTGTGATGCCATTATTATTTCGCTAGTTGATCTTCTTTATTGCTCTTAGTTTGAGAAAGCTTCAATTTATGAGTTGTTTCTCTTGTGGTTCTTGGTGTTCTTCCCAAAAAAAAAATGATTATGGTTATGCACTTCAAGTAGTTTTAGGCAGAAATTTTTATGATGTTTCCTTAACTTGTCATGAATTGGTTTGAATTCCACAGATGCGGTCTATTTCATCAGAGCTAGAGGTTATTGGGAGGCATCAACACCCAGAGTTAACCATTCCATTTCTGAAGGTAGCATCGTTTCTTGTTTTAATGCAACTTATGCTACTTTTTAATACCCTCCACTTTAATTAGCTGTTGAACAGTGCCATTGCATGTTGTGGAATTTGATGTGCCTTGTAGTATCAGCATCCATATCTGGTACACATTCTGTTAGTAAGCTTGGATTTGATATTAAGCTACCCAAATTTCTCCCAATTATTATGGAGGAATTGTATCTTTTTTTTTTTGGAAAATAAGTATGCATGCACAAATTGCTTTTTATGTTCACAGTGTGGCCATTACTAGATTCTTGATAGAGTGAGAATTTGATCATAGTCTCATTTTTAATGTATCTGATGCTACTACAAGCTAAATTGCACGTAATTAGCAGTTCAAAAGTGTGATGTGCATTTTGTGGTTGTTGAAGTGAATTGCCTTGTCAAGCCTGCCATGGTTACCTTAATCACTGAACCAAGTGGCCACAAGTCTTATCTTGGAGTGATTGTAACTAGGCTTTGCAAAACTCACATTTGAAAAGTTCTTGGGAGGTATCCTTCAATTGCAACATGGATGATTGACTGACATAATTTAGTTTTGAAAATGCCCATGGATTACTTTACCTCACAATTAAGTCTCCTTTTCCATTTATGTTAATGGGAAATTTTTCCCTCATATGACTGGGGAAATTACTTGTGCCATCTGTTGTATTGCATACCCTTGGAAATAGGATGGCCATCAGTGGCAGCCTGCACTAGTGTTGTTATGATGCCAATATATGCACATTCGTGCAAGTTTCTTCCAAGAAACTTCCATCCTGAGCAATGTGAAGCCATCCCAGTTTTATTATTGATTTGGTATTTGTTGATGTATCATGCTGACGTCTAGGCTTCGGTTGGGAAAATTTGGCTGGTAGTCTCTTTCTTCCTTGAGATTTCCCTCTGTATTTCATCCAGTTCAGAAGTGACTGCGGCAGTACTCTCTCTTACAAAACATTCATCTGGGATTTTGGTAGCTAACTTGGGCAAATCCTCTGATAGTAAATGTCCCACTTGATATGCAGGGGAACTTCTTATGTAAGAATACTAGTGAGAGGTTTTCTGCTATTGAATGTCACAGATAGCATGATAATTCATGGGAAATGTTTTCTTTCATGTCGTGTTGCCTTGTGTCCGTGATGAAGTTTCCACTGGAGCTAGTCTACGAGTGTCTTGGATAAATCTTAGTCATCTCTGCAAGTTTTTAAGAATTGGTGTTGCATGTATCATGCTATATGGAAACTACCATGATTTATATGCTTAGTATTCTTCATACTCTTCTTCATACTCGAGCCAGTTATGATTTTTCTGTTATCCGGTTCTCATCATTCTGAATAAGGACTTGTATTATTTGCTGCAGGCAATACGAGAAATTGGGAAAGCAGCGATGCATGAAAGTGTTTTAGTGGCCAATGAGTCTCAAGAATATTTTGTGCATGTCAAATCAGATATAAAGGGTTTAGATAAAAGGACGAGTGAGGTTACCATACAAAATGATGGATCCCCGGATGCTGATGGTAGCGGTCCCGAAACATTGTCATCTCGTAAGTACTTCCAGGATTGAATTTCTGTGGTATGTTTTTCAATGATAAGATTTTTGCTATTTTATTCAATTGTTTTACTTCTCTTCAAGGAAGTCGTTTAAATTGATGTGTAGTACTATAGTAGAGATTTGCTTAAAATCTAGATCGTGCTTTGTCAATTCATTGTTAATGAGTCTGACAGTGCTTCTTGCTTCGCTTAGAGGTTAGCATAGGTCGAGCTAGCCTTACTGACTACTCTGGAATCACCACTTGAATAACAGAGCTTTCAGTCTGATAGTCGCTTCTTCCCGGCTTCTATCCTGCACCTGGTCAACTCGATCAAGCTGCTGTGGTATGAACCAATCCCAACCCCGTCGGAAAGGGACGTTCTGACATCTCGTTTAATATTCTCTGTACTGACAATGATCAAACAAAAGAAAAATGTTCTTTGAACTACTTTCCGACTTTCATGGGTACATTTGGCTCCCTTGTTCCCTACTATGAAAAATCATTATGATCTTAGGCTTATTGGCCAGACTTTGACTTGGCCTTTATTTGGCCGGAATGCTTCCTTTCTTGGTGCTGCTGGCCCCCATCCAGACCAGACTTACCTGGATTGAATTGTGACTTGGCAGGTTGATTCAACTGAACTCATAGGTGAGCTTCATCTTTGCTTAAAACCTCACCTTTGCTTCCATGTCCTTACACGACATAAAAATTTGAAAAATATGCCAAAAGATTGAAGTCTTTGAATTTTTTCCCGTGTTACTTTCTTTATTTTTTCCTAAATATGATGGATTGGGATATTAGGTATGGTTTCCGGGATTGGGATTGGGAACGGGACTGGTTCTAGATTAGATCGGGAGTGAGGGATCGTGAAAGGCTAGAAGGTCCCTAGTTTCAGGATTGATGTATGTAAATCCCAAAATTAAGGTTCGAGAACCCAATTTGTTGGGGAGCTCAATCTTAACTTTCAGGAATCAAATGATAAGTTCTACAACTCAAAGCTCCATTTGGTTAAAAATTGTGGTCCTTGAGTGCACTTAACTAGGATTCCCTGGGTCCAGAAGCGCAATCTGTATAATATTATATAGAATTAATGATTTGTTTTTAGAAAAAACCCAAATTTTATTAATAAGTGTCAAAAATCCGATCATTCTATGATAATTTTATAATTTATTACTCCTTTAAGAATAGTTCATATTTTGATTAAGTTATAACAAGTTTTTAAAGAAATTGAAACTAAAAAAAATTTAAGAAAATTGGATCATTATATGATATATCAATTGTTGCTTCCTTTGGGTGTAGTTTATGACTTTATGACAAGGAATAGAAATCATGGCCGTCCTTTATTGAAACAAAAAAGTATTAAAATAAGTATTAAGTTGAAGCCCATGGTAACTTGTGACTTAGTAAAAAGGCCAAGGGGGACAGTATTGTCTGCTATCACCAGAAATCATATATGTAAAATTATCATACATACAACTATATATTATATAAATACTTAAAAGTATTGACTAATCATAAAAAATAGCCGCTACTTAGCATTAAATTGAAGCTCAAGGTTCTAACTTGTGATCTTTAAAGTGGCCAAGAGGGACACTAGAGTATACCAATAAGGGAATCTTGATCTCACGTTGGTGGAACTTCGGTTCAATTTGAAAGGTGGACTATGTGACCAGGCAAGTCAATACCAATTAATTTTTTTTTTTTTACTTTTTTCTTATTGTATTGCTACCTGAATCACTCACAAGTGTTTGTATACAATATGAACCAAATAAAAGTGTCTAAGAATTCTCACTTGTTTGCCATTAAAATGAAAATACATTCAAGATACAGATCTAGAAATAAAGTTGCAATGGAATCAAAAGAGCATAAACTAAGAGAATACCTTATACCTTACCCCAAGTTACCTCCAAGGACTCAGCAAACCCCACATCGGGTCTCCTCCACCAATAGCACACAGGATCTTGGTTCAAGATCTCATCTCACAACTTGGGAAACCTAGGCAAAAACCTGCAGAGTGCATAACATGGGATGTCCTTGACCAAGGTTCAACACATGAGCATAAGGCCAAGACCTAGGGCTAGGCTATGTGGCTCAGGCGTGCCACCCCTTGGCTTAGTTTTCATTCTTAAACCCTAAAGTTTGGAGAGAAGAAGAGAGATATTTTGAGAATAGCGTGCCACTCCTTGAGGCTTTGAGACAGAGAGGTCAAGTGTCGAGAATGAACCCTCCCATAGCTAGTTTATATAGAACAAATACTAGGGTTTCTAGGGTTAGGGTTTTGCCATCACTATGAGATTTAATCTTGACCTTTGATCTTGGAGACTCGTGGGGTGAAGAGATCTCATCCATTCATTCCTTATATCAGCCATCATGATTAAAGGAATGAGGTGGAACAATTATCCCTTAGTTTTCATAACTCCATTACCATCAAATATTGTGTAGAGAAAGTAATAAATAAATCATAATTAATTTCTTTCACCTTCTTATTTTGAAATCAATCACAATTAATTTTTTGCACCTTCTTATATTGAAATCAATCAAAATCTCTACACAAAAGTTCCCTAAAATATCAAATCAACATATGGCATAATTGCCACATTTCAATTTAGGAAAGTGTAGAGGACGTGGGGCACACCACCCATAGGTTGGCCATGTGGCCCCCTCGCCCCATAACATGGTGGTCCCAATGTACCCCAATGGGCCCCCCGAATACTTTAAACATAATTTTAGATAATAAAATAATTTTATAAAACCTCTAAATATTTTAGTTTTTCTCTAATAAAAATAAATCCAGAAAATTGATTTTTCTTTAGTTAAAAATCATTTTTAAATAAAATAAAATACTTAGAGAGGTCTAAAAATTTATTTTAATTATCAGAAAAATAATTAAAATATATTTAAACATATTTAAAAAGATTTGATGAGAATTGGATCCATAGAGTTAAAATTACGATAAATATATTGAGGACTCCATCCTCTCTAGAGATCGTATCTCATTGCACCTTCTCAAACTGATCCAACAGGTCCCATGATCCACAACCTCTCGTAGGGGTTCATTATTGTACCATCAAAGTCAGCCAATAAAGTGAAGGAGATCTGATTCTAGACCACGGATTACACGTCCCTCCTTGAGGACAATCCATGCCTCATTTTAGCAATATGCTCCATGGGTCCTTCCAATACAGGCCAGCGTTGCAGAGAGTCATCTCCTCTGTATATGTACACATCACACACTCTTATCCAAAAAGGGCCGCTTCCCAAATGGCTATCAAGTGTATATGTCGTGTGATGGTAATGATAAGGATTTAGGCTCTTGTCATCTCATGCTATCCATCACACATAGGGGTCAAATCTATGGCCCCTGGCCAACTGTCCTAGGCACATTTATGACCTCATCGAGGGATAACCCCACATCGAAAATCCTTATCGGTTGTGTTCACATAATGCCTAGGACTATGGGTTTTTAGACATTACACTGAGCTATAGCCAGTCAAAAGTGTGTACCGACATCAGAAATGCCTCATAGTCCAATGTGGACCACACTCCCACTGGAGCTAATATTTCACTATATTCATTTTTTTTAAAGTTCATGCTCTCATAGGGCTTTAAATGGTCACACAACCCCAACACAATTTTCCTATGAACCCTTGGATATTATGATAAGGAATTTGGATCCTACGTAACTCGGGATCTCGATCCCTAATAGGAAGGATTAAGATCCCAAAGCTTAAAAATCGTGGAGGAGCGAGATACCTCTCCCTGGAACGCAGGAGCTAGCTTCCACAGCAGGATCGACCCCTTGGTTGAGACTTGAGAGATCACATAACTAGGATATCACGGTTCATAGAAACTCTAACCCACATTCACATGCCTTCATTTGCAGCTCCATACCAGTTAAACAATATATATTTTGGTAGATAATATGCCACAAAATATGTCAATTGTTTGACTTCCTCTTTCCCATTTGGCCATTTTTCATCATTCTAGAAGGAAAGTTGGGTTGGGATATCAGAGTTTAGAGAAACCCCACCCGAAGTCTCAACCGTCAGAATAGCATTACATGTTTTGTCCAATCAACATTTAAAGGTGGTGTTGGAGTACTGGCTGACTTTCGGAACTCCATCAGTTGTTGAAGTTCAAACTTCAAGAACTAAGGAACTTCAAGAAGGCGGTCCTCAAAATGCTCACTTCCTTTGTCTCTTCCTACAAGAGTTGTAGGGCTTTCATGTTAGTCTCCCTTATGGCATACTTGGCTTCTTTAGCTCTGCAGGATGATTTGGAGGTTGTCCTTCAGGCATGAATAGGTATTGGAAATCTAAAGCAGAAACCAGAGTAGAACCCCCTATTCTCTTTCTCCCCTTACTGAAATTATGAAAAATTGAATGACTTCATCTCTCCAATGAAATTTTGGATGTTGCAAATGCTCTTGAGGCCCTAAGAAATGGGGTAGGGTGGACAATGTGGTGCTCCGAATGGGGGTGGACCAAATTCTTTTCCTCAAGTCTTATTCTGAATCCAAGGCAACTGAAGACACGTCTGTCTATGATACTTATGATTTCCATGTGACTGGATAGCATCAATGGGTATAAATTGATGGAATTTAGAACCATTGGAATAGCCAAAAGCCTTCCTTGCTTATTTATGAGCTGGACCTGGCTTCTGCATAAACTATGGACCTGCCATAAATAACATTCAATCAACGTGTTATACACACTAAATGGATTAGGTTACACATAAATACTAAAACCTGAGCGATCCATGTCCAGGGTGTTGACGTTAACCAGACTTCATGTTTCAAACTTCCAATGGTACATTCAATCCCTTCACATTATCTGTAAGCAGTTCCAATCTGGGATCTGCTTTTACTTCCTGCACTTATGCTTTATGTGTCGCAACTGTAAGAACTTGTCTTTCTTTTGTTTGTTCATTCTTGAAAGTTTATACGGGTACATGCATCGATTTTCTTTCAAACTCATCTCCTTGGAGAAACATTTCTGTAAGTATTCTGACTCGGTATCATCACTATGATGCTTAATGTGTGTAAGATTTTTCTATTTATATGGTCGACATGATCAGAATTTTGTAAGCAGTCAGCAAATTTTGTTAGTTTTTTTGTTTGTTATCAACACCTTGATTGCAAATTCATTTTTGGTGAAATATCCAGAGGAATCAATGGATATGAAGTCCAGTATTGATGCAGAAGTAGAGCATTGGGAAGACTTGCTATCCAAATTGAATGACTTTAGAAGATACAGACGCTCAGTTGGATCTGTTGCTGGCTCGTGCATATCAGCTGCCACTCCACTCTTGGCTTCAACGGAAGAGGCATCTTGTCTGATAGCTCTTGATGTAATCGAGGTACTTATCTATCTGGTTTTGAGAGAGCGTCAGGTTACAAATCACGTCAGTATTATTATTGGGGATATGGTCGAGAACATTTGAACTTGTGAACTTAAATGTCAATTGCAATGAGTAAATGTAGAACTTATTTTGGCTCTTCTATGGTTGAAGATGCTTGGCTTCTTTATATGAATGTAAGGAGGTGGTTCTTTATATGGGCATATCTCTCTCTCCCCCCCGCTCTCTCTCTCTCTCTCTCTCTTGCATGTTATGGTAATGCCTAATATGTGGGGGATTGGATAAACAGAGGTTAAGATTCTTTCAGACATGAGCATGTTGTGTCTCTTGCACATTATCTTTTAGTAACGCCCCTATTTGGAGGTCCTTTGCTACAGTTTAAGTTTGAACATCAGACTCAGAAAAGTTTGTTGAGGCAACACTTCCAAAATATGATATAGTAAAGCAAGCCATCATCATTATCATCATTTTAGCCTTTTTCCAATTAATTGGAGTTGGCTACATGAATCCTGGTTCTCCATGCTGCTCTATTAAATGCCATATCCTCAGTGAGGCCTTAAGTCCTTATATCTTTTCGGATTACTTCCAACAACGTCCTTTTAGGTGTACCCCTTGCCCTTTTCAGTCCTTCTACTTGAACTAACTCGCACCTCCTAATAGGTACTGTACTTGGTCAGCATCACACATGGCTAGTGCCACACATGGTAAAACAAGCCGTTTGATGTAAATAATTTACTGCCACCTCATGTTTAACTAGCATGCTTTTTTATGAGTGCTCACGTTTTCTGGCTCCCTTCTTGCCACTGGTCATTTGTGCTAAGAACCTAGGTGTTGTAGCTTCAAATTATCAATCAGCTTAGTTTGGTTTATTGGTCAGAGCATAGGTGTGAGTCCGACTTGCTTGAATGATGAGGCAATCCTGAGGCATATGCACCCTAGAGTTGGTAAATGCTCTCAACTGGTCTTCCATTAGAAAATATGTGTCACCATCCTAGTCAGTGGTGACGCTTGAGGACCAGTTGTTTAAAGATCAGAGGCTTTGCTTGGGATGACTAAGTTTATATTTCTGAGAGATCATATCACTTTTTATTTTATTAAAGAAATAATGGAAATAATGGCTACAGAATAGAAAGTTTTTTATTCCTAATTTTCCCTCTCTGATATTTTTCTGATTTCTTTTCTGTTCATTAAACGTATAATTTCTTTCTATAGACCTACAGTGATATATAATAGCTTGGTCATGAGTTATAGATACTCAAATTGAAAGTTATTTCAGCTAGGGGTTGCTGCTCTGGCAAAAGTAGAGGAAGCTTTTAGGCATGAAAGAGAAACAAAGGAAGCGATTATCCAAGTGATTCAACGCAGTTCATTTTATGATCTTCAAGACACTGTTGATGCGACAAATGAAGGAGAAGCTGATGAGAATAGACTGCTTCCAGCAGTGAACAAAATATGGCCTTATTTGGTTCTCTGCGCTAAACATAAAAATCCTGTGGTAAGTGTTTATTTTGTATGTCTGTACCCATATCTTTGATTACACTGAAACATTGCTCGTGTTCTTTTTGCATACTGTGACATTGCTTCTCGTATCAGTGGTACTTTACCAGGCAGTGGGTTTAGAGTAATGTGAATTGTCAGATTTTTGGAAATTTTGTGTGTGTGTGTGAGTGTGAGAGAGAGAGAGAGAGAGACAGAGAGAGAGAGAGAGAGAGTTTTTCGCCAAATTCAAGAGCGTTGTAATTCTCAGTCAAACTTGAGAAAGGTTGGGGCGTGTTTCTCAGCCAATTTCAAGATAGGCAAGGGGCAGTGCAATTCCCAGCCAAACTCTAGAGAGAACGGCGTTATTTCTCGGTCATGTTCAAGGGCCTTTTTGATATAGAATATACATTTTTGAGTTTGAGTTGGCCTTTCAAACTCTGAACAGAATGTCATATCATGAGCTGAACCATTTTTCTTTCATATTGCTTAATAAGAGAGAGAGAGAGAGAGAGAGAGAGAGAGAGAGAGAGAGCTCTATTATAATGATCTTAACCTCTCTCTTTTTATCCAGGTTATCAAGAGATGCTTGCTTGTGGTCAGCTCGGTGGTCCAAACTTGTGGTGGAGACTTCTTTATCCGTAGATTCTTCACTGATGGCTCTGCATTCTGGAACCTCTTAATCTCTGCACCATTCTCTCCAAAACCCAAGAGAAAAAACGAAGGACCCATAATGCTTCCATATAGAAAACCAACTTCTCTCTCTCCAGAGCATGATTCAATGGCCGAAATCTCCAGCCTTAAGGTTAAAGAGTCAATCCTTAAAATGATAACAGACATCAGTAAGAATAAGAAGAGCGCTCGAGCCTTAGAAGGTGTGTTTAGAAAGGTTAGTAGTCTCATTGTAGGGGTGGCTTGTAGCAATGTGGCTACTCTCCGAGGAACTGCCATTGATGCACTCCGCAGGCTTTCTGGCATTGATCCCGACTTTGTTTGGCTACTTCTAGCTGACATTGTCTACTCGTTAGAACAGAAGGATGAACATCCTTCTCCACCCTCCCCAGACTTAGCGGAGGTTTCCCAGTTGTTGCCCCCACCATCTTCTGCTAAAGAGTATTTGTATGTACAGTACGGGGGAGAGAGATTTAGTGTTGATGTTGAACTTTCTAGGGCAAAGGAGGTGTTTCAGAAGTTGAATCAAGAATCTCCAGCCTTGTATATGTACATTAACGGTTAAATATACTAGGTTAGATGTTCTGCTTGGTACTTTTAGGGCGAGAGTGTTTGCTTTTTCACATGTGTTCTCAATTGTGTTTGATGTTGAGGTTTGATGGGAGGTGTCTATTGTCTGCCATTGCCTCTCGATTTGAGAAACTGCTATCAAGAGGGGGAGAGAGAGAGGGAGGGAGAAGGAGAAGAACGGGGGAATTGGTCCCAGAGAGGGAGGGATGGTTGGAGAGAGAGGTGTCTTGTAATGACTTCTTTGTGGATTGAGGATCTGAGACCGTCCTAGACACTTATGAGTCCATTTCTGTCTCAAAGAATTGGATGTAGAGTTCTTAGAATATTGTATATTTGATGGATCTAGCTCCATTGAAATGGATAGATTAGATCAGATGTGAGGTAGTAATCAAGATGGGATATTTTTGAGGCTCCATGTTCAATTTTTCAAGAGTCTCGGTCTTAGATTGGATCTGCAAATTCCGGGGCCTCATATCAGATTTTTATCAAGATCATGAAGATTTTTATCAAGAATTATGATCTTGGGGTTTTCTTTTTATTAGTGATATACTGGATACATATAAACCAAAGTCTTGTGCACAATCTGCTGAATTTATCCAACAATCTTTTTGTGGGTTGATGTCCAAGTAGAACTGCTCAAGGAAACACTTAAAAGGTACTATGGAGATACACCCTTCATGTGTAACAGGCCCTGGCTCCATCCTCAAACTCATCGATGAATGATTGAGGTGAGCATAAGCACATAGACAAATGACATTATTTACACCATACATTACCTTATAGTTTCATTTTTGTAGGAGAGAAGCACAAAACAATGTCCTTTTCTTGGACCTGTTATAGAATCATGACACATTTGAGAGAGAGCGAGAGAGAGGCATTGCTTGCACGCATTTCACATAGAAAGCATTTTATTTCATACCAAAAATGAGATTAGATCACTAAGAAACTCGTAATGCAAGAACCGATGATGGCTTGAACCACCTCGGATGTTGTAGTCCCGTGCAGATTTGTCAAAGAAGGGAGACAAAATTGGTTTTCAAAATTTGTTTTATTTTTCCTCATAACTAAGCCCCATGCAGAACAACTTATCAATGTTAAGAGCAGAAACTAAAATGGGTTGTACAAATTGTTTCTTTTCCTCAAAGAAAACTAACGGGATTGTATATTATGAGACCATTTATCTTTAGGGATTATTTATAAAGAGGTCATTTATGTTTTATACATGGAGGTCACAATCATTATTGTTCTTAAATTTTAAAATGGGTGGTTCTAAGAGTGTAATTAACTATACATAGTTTACAAAAAAAAAATCTCCTATTTCATGTCTCACTCTAAGCCATCACAATTATTAATAGTCATTACATGTCAAATTGGATAGCTTGGCGTGTGTTATGAAGTTTGAGAATCGTTTTATTTTTTAAAAAACTTTTAAGTCTAGTCAATACACCATTATAACTATTCAATTTGAATTTTGATGGACATGAGTGTTTGTAATTTTCTTGGACTAAAAGTGAATGGTCTTTGTGTGCTTTCCAAAACTAAATAGGGTTCTACAACTTAAGTTGTTCTCTCTTTTTTTCTTGTAAAAAAATAATGAGGTTGATGTTAATTTGGGGCGGCCTAGAATAAATATCACTGTACTCTATTCAAGATTGTATATAATGAAATTGTTGCCTTTCATACATAAAGATCACAAACACCTCGAGCTGTTAGACGAAAATCAGATAGTCACTTTTTTTTGTGCAGAGTTTGAGCAATATATTCTCTTAGTTTGCAATCAATTTCTATTCCACCTGACTGCCCAATTTCACATCTGATAGTCGAAGGCAATTGTGACCCTTATGGTACAAAGATAAAAGTGGAGGACACAGAAGACTAATAACGAATTTTGCTTATTGACTAAAGCTATCTTAGCCTTCTGATTGAATTGATCGGCTGGAAGGAGTAGTCTATGTGTGGGTAGTGCCACATGAAAAGCTTCTCCTTCAAGAAGTGCTCAAAACTTATAGGCTCATGGTACCATAAGAATCTATATACTGCCTAGAAAGAAATCCAAGGAGAAATGCACTACCAAGAAAGCTTTAGCAAATACTATCCACAAACCAATCAACCTTTCCTTCAAAACATTTCGTCCAAACATGAGGAAAGGCAGCACAACTTCTTGTCACTTGCCAGAGTGTCCCTGGGCCCTTCATTGCAGAAGAAAATTGTCCACCACTTATCACATTTGCTTAGACATTAGCATGCAATTGAGTTTGGCAAACTAGTGAACAGATCAAGCTTATATAATCCTATTGCTTTAGTATATTTGGTTAGCTGAAAACTGCCCACTATCAAGCTTAGCAACAACCTTGTCAGCCTGCTTCAGCATGAAACTACTGGACACTTGATATAATTTCCAGCTCTTTCGTTTAATGGACCTCCTATGGCACTTTGGATTGTGAGCCACTACACCATATGCATTTCTAATGTTATCAAACTAAGGCCCTGTTTTGATGAGTTAGAAATACAACTCCTTTAAAATTGCCTAGGGTTAACTTGAGTTAGAAATACAACTCCTTTAAAATTGCCCAGGGTTAACTATCATTCCAGCTTTGCTATGTTTTTTTTTTTTGGGTAATTTAGTGGGGCAGATAGGTCCCTACCCGTTTTTTCATATAGATTAGGGCGTTCAGTTTTTTGAAAGAGTTAGTTGGTGGTGTCAGCAGGATTGCAAACCACAACGTGATAACTAAGTATGGGGGTGCTACCATCACGATCTAGCTCCTTTCGTACATTGTTGTCGTCTTGTTATTATATTTGGACACATTAACTGGGCAGGAGTGGAATCCTTGACACATTGTGGACACATTGCCACTTCCACACTGACCGCTCAAGCTAAGGGTCCTTTCCTATTGTCGTGCTCATGTCACTGTTAATCAAATTCCACTTATCGACAAAATGCCCCTAACATCAGTGTTTTGCAGGTAGAAGCAAAAAAGAAGAGGGAAATTTATCAAGGAACACGTGATTTGAACTGTTTAGCATTGTGTACATTTTCTTTTAACTAGCTTCAAATTACCGATCATTTTTTTTTTATCAAATTTCAAATTGACCATTAAATGACATATCAAAACAGATTTTAAAATTTTTCAAAATACACTTAAAAGTAAAATGTTAAATAGTTTAAATATTAAGTGTATTTTGATAAATTTCCTTCAAAGTACTCCTTTACTGCCACCGGTAATAGCAAAGTTATTTTCACATACATTTATATTGAATGATGCGCCCCTATGCCCACACATACCTTTAAGTTAATGTCAAATACAGGTAAAGGTAGAAGAGGGCAATCAAAATAGTAATTTATATTTCGTATTTTACACACTTTTTAAGACTATATATTTTATGTTAATTTTATTGTTCTATACATTTAATAAGTTCAAGTGTACATATTTCTCATAAAGAATATTGAAAATAATTAAATAATAGTAAATAACTCAATAAATAATATACAATGAAACTATTACTTTGCCTCTCTCTCTCTCTCTCTCTCTATATATATATATATATATACAGAATTCCAAAAAATTTCAATGTTAGATACACTTTCAACTGAGTGGCAGTAGATTTAGAACATTATTAGAGCTTGTAGTTCATATTGTTTTCATGGTGGCTTATCCAAATAATATTTGACATGGAGCTTCACAAAAGCTACAATTTTTTTGATAATTTCTATTCAAATGAGCAGCCCATATTTGAGTTTGCAATGGCAATAGATTTAGAGCATCCATAAATCACAGATTTTCTTATCATTTATTTTACTATTTTTGGTGAGGTCTTCAGAGGGAAGATTTTTTTAGGTCTCTAGGCCACCTCAAAAGTGGTATTTTAAGGGGAGAATATATAGTTGCACAATCGAAAGAAATGTCCTGATTTATTTTTGGAATTCAGAAATAGTTGTATATATGTCATATTGTACACTGTAAAAGAATATAATTTATTTTAATTTTTAATTTTTATTATGTATTAGATTAAGTTCAAATTTGAACGTCCATACTTTTCACTATTTAAATAAAATTACCAAAACACCTTCAAATACTGAGGAGTATTTTAGTTATTTACTATTTTTGAATTATTTTAAAATATTTCTACATATATGTGGTGGTAAGAGGTATGAATATATTAAAAATTAATCTTAATCCAATGTATATAAAATAATAATAATAATAATAAAATGAAACTTTTAGTGCAAAATGTAAAATTTATAAGACTCTTGTTGAAGCCAAAGTATATTCTTCTCCTGTAGGAGTAGAATGTTCATTTACTTCTGGTAAATCCCCATCTAGAAATAATTTTAGGACCCAAAATTTTGGGAATGTAACCATTTCATCCCATAGATTAATCTCAATAAAAAAAAAATCCTAATTATGCCCTTTATGCACTTTACAAAAGTAATGGCTTTGAGATTGAATAGAGCCTATCCAATTTTAGATGGTGAAGTCTACATGTTAGAAAGCGCAAATTTTAAATTATTTTTTTGAGAATAATTATTTAGTAGTTCTTAAGTGGTTACCGAATTTTCAAATTGAAAAAATCCTTCCAAGTAGGTCTCCGGACTGAGGGACTGTATATGTGCTCATTTCTAAATTCTAAAAATAAAACATGACTTTTATGTAAGGGTGTGGTTTGTATAAGATTGCAACCTTAAACAATCCAATTAAGGCGTGCCTCCAAATTTTGTAATAAATACAATTTTAGTGTAAAAATTCTTAGGATGGCTTGAGAATCTATTTTCATCTTTAATTATATAATTTTAAACTAAAAAAAGATTCAAATCAATGAGATCTATGAATGCTAATTTTTTTTAAAATGGATGGTTTAGATAATGTGTTGCAAGATACACTATTTTTAGGACTCAAAATCTTTTTTCTTTTCATATCATACATCTCAATGTTGCTATGATCGATTAGAGGGTTTCCGAACATCAAAACAAACTTTCTATGATGAATTTTTTATATGCACCTTAATTCTAAATTTTAAGGTTGCAACTTAATATAAATTTTTTTCTTTTATGTACAAGTAAAATGGTTTATGCATGGGGGAGGGGACGCATAACTGCATATGCATCCCCTGAGGCATCCCACATTCATCTTAAATATGGATGTGGAGTTGTGTTCTCTCCAAAAAAAAAAAAAGAAGAAGTTAAAGTCAATTGTTTGAATTTTTTTTCAAAAAACTATTATTAGTTTATTTTTTCATATTCTCCACGCTAGAGACTATATATACCTTCAAAATTAGGTCCAAAATCTATCTAACAAATGGGTCATGAGGAGAGGATGCAGATCTACATAGAATCCTATAACTCATAAAAACCATGTCCTCATCTAAATTTCCTATACAGTTTAATGTTCCTATGGACACAGGTTTTTTTCAAACACCATGAATCACACAAAGAGTGAGTATAATGCCGTTTGGATACACCGATTACGACTGGCATTAAACGTGATTGAAGAAAACAATACTCTTGTTAATCGAATTTAAGGGCTTATTTGCAGCCTTCAAATAAGCGGGGGTTCAAAACATGGACCTACACAAATGACCTCAAGATAGTTCCTATACAAGAGTGTTAGAAACTAGAATCAGTCGTCAAACAAAAATTTA